CTAAATGTCCTTCCCGAGGTATTGCTGTGAAGAATTAAGTAAGAATAAAATAATCTGCCGGTACCGGACCGAAGGGCGGATGGTACGGTACAGCAGATATATATATATGTATATAAATTAGGCAGATTATTTTCTTACTTTGTTCTAATCATAAAAATGAAAGTAGGGTAAAAAAAATTGGAAGAAGACCTAGGAAAAAAGGTAACAAGAATAAGGAAGAGTTCAAATGTGAGAGAAAGAGAGGCTAGGTGGGGAGGGGCAATGGTGAAAGGTTTTCCATGGTTCATGCCTCTTAAACTGAGTTTTGAAAACTGATAGTAAGAAAGCCAGGTGTAGGCAAAGGGACCAGTATGGGCAAAGGTCCTGAGATTTGGAAGAATTTTGTGTCTGGAGAAATGTGAATAGTTTGCACACCACGCTCTGGATATACTGAGTGACAGTATTTCCAGTTCCTCGAGTGCACTCTTTTCTCTCTCACATTTGGATGCTCGCATACACTACAACTTCTCTCTGTTATTCTTCCTTCACCTTCCCTCCCCTCATCACAGCTCTTCTTCCCTGGACGAATTCCTACTTAACATTCAAGACTAAGGTCCATCATACTGCATATTAAACCACCCTACTGCAGTTTCCTTATTTTAAAACCAAATTTAAAATATGTTTAAAGATAAACAACTTAATAAAATTGACCAAATTAAAAACATGCCTAATATGCACTTTATAAAATTTTTCGGTCATGTTTTATTTCAAAGAATTATATTTTGGGGGAGGGTATAGCTCAGTGGTAGAGTGTGTGCCTGGCATGTATGAGGTCCTGGGTTCAATCCCCAGTACCTCCATTAAATTAAGTAAGTAAGTAAACCTAATGCCCCTCCTCAAAAGAAAAATAGTTCATTTCTCAAAGAATTATATTTTACATTGTTACAAATAGAATAAAGTTTATTTAAGATAATTTTAGATTTAAAAAAAATTCAACTAGCTCTGACCCCCTATATCCATTATCATCATCAAAATTAGAATCAGTACTTCGATACATCTAAACAGGATGCAGATCTTTTTCTTGGTGTTGCCGTTTTATTGAGGTATAATTGATATACAAAAATTGCACACATTTACTGTTTATAGCTAGATGAGTTTGGACATATGCATACACCAGTGATACCATCCCCACAACCAAGGCACTAAGCATATCTATCATCTCCAAAAATATCCTTGTGTTCTTTTGTGGTATCTTTTTCTTTCTTTCTTTCTTTCTTTCTTTCTTTCTTTCTTTCTTTCTTTCTTTCTTTCTTTCTTTCTTTCTTTCTTTCTTTCTCGAAGAGCACTTAACATGAGATCTACCTTCTTAACTTATTTTAAAGTGCACAATCCCATATTGTTAACTATTGGTATTATGTTGTGTAACAGATCTCTAGAACTTATTTATCATGCATAACTGAAACTTTATACCCATTGAGAAATAATTTTCTATTTCTCCTTCCCTCAACCCCTGAAAACAACCATTCTATTATCTGGTTGTATGAGTTTGACTATGTTTATTTGGAAATTAATATATCTCTCAACCTTTGTTCACATTTCTCATATACTTACTAGTTTTTGAGGAAAAATGTAAACTACATTTTAAATGTGTTTTTATATATGGTTTTATTTTCCATTGATGATAAAAAAAAGTAAATCAAATGCTTCCCAGGATTGCTGTGAGAATTAAGTAAGATAAAATAATTAAAAATTCCTCACAAAGTAACTGGTTCAAAAAAGTGCTCCAAAAAAAAAGTCAGTTCATTTCTTGTACCTTGCCACTACGATGTTAAGCCCAAAGGTCAATTCTCAGTCTTCATCTTACTTAACCCATCAGTAGCATTTAACACAGTTGGTACCTCTCTCCTTGAATTTTCACTTAGCTTCCAGGATATCCTTCTCTCCTATTTTTATTTTTTCTTCTGCTTCACTGTCCATTTCTCAATTACCTTTGCTAGTCTCTTCTCCTGCCCCCACCTACTTAATGTTGGAGAGTCCCAGGATTTAGTCCTTGGTCTTCTTTATCTATACCTCCTTCCTTGGTGATCTCATCCAGTCTCATGTCTTTACATACCATCCAACTAGGAAAATTCCTACCTCCAAACTTAGAGATATAACTGCCTATTCAATATCTCTACTTGGATAGCTAATATCCATTTCAAAGTCAACAAGTACAAAACTGAACTCCCCCACTCCCACCACCTCCACCCCAAACATGTTCTTTTTACATAGTCTTTCCCATCTCAGTTTATGGCAACTCCATCCTTTCATTTGCTTAGGTCAAAAATCTTAAAGTCATCCTTCAGTCCTCTTTTTCTTGCACATTCTACTTCCTGTCTATCATGGAATTCTGTTGGTTCTGCCTTTTAAAAGATAAATGGAAATCAACCATCTTCTACCCTGACCCCCACTGTTATCATTCTGGTCTAAACTGTTCTGTTATCTCTTGTCTTGATTACTGAACAGCTCTGTGACCTTTCTCCCTGCTTCTACCTTTGTCCCCAATAATCTGTTTACAATCCAGTAGAAAAAAGAGTGATCCTTTTAAAACAACTTAGATCATGTCACTCCTCTTCTCAAAATCTTGTAATTGTTCCTCATTTCACTCAGTGTACAGTTTGAAGTCCTTATAATGACCTGTAAGGTCTTTTATGATCTGCCTCCTTCCCTCTTTGACCTTACCTTTCTACCATACTCTCTTACTCACTGTGCTTCAGCCACAGATTGTCTTGTGTTCCTCTAATATGCAGACACATTCCATCCTGCTTTAGAACCTTTGTACTTCATGTTCCAGCTGTTTGGGATGCTCTTCTCCCAAAATGTCCTATGGCTAACTCTCTCACCTCCTTCAGTCTTCCTTCAAATATTACGTTCTCAATAAGGCTTGCCCTTTACTAACTTAAAAAATCACTGCAGCCCAGCCCACTACCCTGTTCCTGCTGTTGCCAATCCCCCTTACCCTGATCTACTTTTTTTTCCTTAGCACTTATCCCCTTTAAACATTCTAGATAAGTTACTAATTATGCTTATGTTTGTTGTCTGTCTTCCTTTGCTACATTTTAAGCTGCTTGAGGACATGGATCTTTGTTTCATTCAGTGGCTTATCTCAAATGCCTGGCATAGCACTTGGCACCTGGTAGGCACCCAATAAATGTTTGAATAAATAAATGAAATGTTACTATTTAATATATAATTCCTTTGTGATTCATTTCTAAGCTAAACAAGAAATATACTCTTGAAAAAGTCTTTTTTTCAGGAAGAAATCCATAAGAGTTTATAAGACATATTTTTCAAAAATATTTTGACCTCCTTAAATTGAATGACATTATATTACATATTAGAATCCATGTCCTATTGAGATTACTAACTATTTGAAGCTGGTAGATGCATTTTTCTTAAAGAACCTTAGACTATCAGAGCTATAAAAGATTATAGTAATCATCTAATCAATCTGTTTATGTCATCTATGACTGTACTTTTTAATATGTTGGAACAGTACAGTTCCAACTGTACTGTTTCCCATATTCCAGTTCCGGAATAGTTTACTTAGGATCTGACATTTACTGTTCCACTGTGCAATCTTTTATCAGTTCTACAGGAGATAATGAAGCAATCTCTAAAGACACTACATGAACTAGCCTCATCATTAGTCACTTCAATGGAAGTTGCTGAGAAGTCATATTACTCCTCTCCACAAACCCATAGACTTGTCTATATGGGGATATGCTATGCCAGTTCAGTTTAGGTACCAGAGAACCACATTCAGATTATTTGGCAAAGTGTCAAGCCTTTATAAAAACATGAGAAGTTCATAGATGAGTCATTTATTTCTTTAAAATCTAGGAGGAGAATCTGGAGTCATTGGGAAAGACGGAGGCAGGCAGATTTTGCTGGCTGTCTAGTCTCACCTCCTCGTGTGTCTTCTTGTATTTGCTGTCGAGTGTAATAGTCTATTAACCTGCTTTCATCACTGTAGGAGTTAGTGAAGGGAAAGCTCAGCTGCAGTTGCAGATCTGGTAGACTAGGCTGCTTCAAATTCTTCACAGCACTGACAGAACTAAAGTCTCCAGAGTGAATAGAGGTATGAGCAGTGGGCAAAATGTGGCTAGTTTTAAAAGCAGTCTTGAGACAGCCAATCTGGATGAGAATTTTTTTTTCATTTCTAACTAAGTGCCATATCTTCATTAGCCAATGGTTGGGAAATCCTGACAGTCTTCTGCATGCTGACTCCATGTGTTCAAACCTGTAAGTTTTAGGGTATTTGGTCAAGTGGAAAATAGGACAACAGGAAGCTCTTGAGGGCCTTAAAGGGGAACTTCATGGTTTACTAGCAATTAAAGGTTTGATTCTTTCAGGGAAAACAATTTGTTTTTGTTTCTCTCATTTGTGTGCTTTTTCTATTTTTATTATCTTTATCTAGATGTCCAAATTTCAGGGGTCAGTGGGGAAATTATTGGTACATGGGGGCCAAATGTGACCAACTCTGGAATACTCTGGACCTGATTTTAGTAGCAGTATTGCCTGGAATAAGCCTTGCTTTAATAGTTGGTGTCACAATCCAGACTATCTACTACTGTAAAAAGAAGTCAAAGAAGAATATAAATGATCACCGGTAAGAAATTTCTAAATACCTCTGAGAATGATGAGAAATCTCTTGTGAGATCAGCAAATGATTCAAGAAATAATAGATATCATTTATCATGCGTACAGCTGGAGTGTGCCCTTCCATATTCATCAACATTTAATTAAATTCGAGCAAAATCAGGATAACCAACTACATTTTGTTCAGGATTTGGATACAGCAAAAACTGGAAAGCCCTTTCCTCAGATAAAAGCCAAGTGTAATTCACTAAAGAATTGTCCTACTCCAGTGCCTTCCTTCAACGACGGCGGTATTTGTATGCACCACACATACTGTCCTAAGAGTTGGGGCAGGGGGATGGTTATACCAGTACCTCCTATCCACCCCCAACCCCCAGCAACAATGTCTGAGAAATGGAAAGAGGAATCCAGTAGACTTGACTGTAATCTGATTCTGCTTTGGGTAAATCATTGGGCTTCAATTTCCTTAACTATAGAGATTGCTATAATCTGGCCTACCCACCTCCCAGAGACGGTGAGATTGATACTGAAAACAACCATCATTTACGGAGAGTTTATTATGTGTGTCAGGCTGAATTATACATGTTTCATACCTATCAAATCATATAATCCTCACAGGAACTCTATAAAGTACAGATGAGATTACTGAGGCACAGAGAGATCAAATAACTTGGCTGAGGTTACAGGGCTGTCTGGACCCAGGCAATCTGGCTCCCAGGCCTAAACTCTTAACCCCCAGGCTATGCTAATGGAATCTAATGAGATAAAACAGTGCTTTGAAAGCTGTAAAGCCCTGCTGCATTCCATGTATTTATTTGTTTAAAAACAAATAGCACTGTTTATATTTTGTACTTCCTCTGAATGATAGAAATATGTGGCCTAATACCAGTAGGATACAATCTCATCAATTTTCTATCAGTTAATTCAAATTAGCATCTACTTTGAAGTATCATTCTCCAGTGACAAGATAATGTTACCCTCTATGCAGTATGAAGCTGGTTTGAAATATTACTTTAAAATTGGAAGTGTCTGGTACTGTCAGCCTCACACTTCTAAGAACAGGCTTACAAATTGCAATATAATTAACCTTTTGAATACACTTAGATATTTGTCTCTGGGAGGGTGAGATAAACTCTCCAACCTTTTTTGTTGTTTCAGAATCCTAATCTTTGTACCATCATTCCATATTCTTCAAAGTACCCTGTGTTGTGCCTGTATCTCTGCATAAAATCAATGTTAATTAACATTAATTTTGTAAATTGAAATTAATGTGGAGAATTTCATATTACCACTTAGGTTGGAAACCTCCTGAGATTTTAGAGAATCATTTTAATTAGAAATTATCCCTGTTAGCAAGTCACCTTTGAAGCAATCTGCATGGTTTTCCTACTCCCAAGCTTTCTAAAACACTGGATTTGTATTCCAATCCTCTCTTCTACTAACTATCTATGACTGAATGGATCTCTTGGCCCCTGTTTCCTCCTTTATAAATGAAGAGTCAGGTAATACATATCCTACTTCTCCATAGTTGTGAGAATCAAATGAAATAATAGAAAATTGCATTGAGAAACAAAGGAAAAATAAAAAGCTTGGTTATAACTTAACAGAGTATTAGTGTTCATAAGCCTTTGGGCTTATTTATAGGTTTTTTTTTCAGGTAAAGGATTAGTCTGCCTGATTTTTCTCCAGTTGAAATATAATTTAGTTTGAGCTCCTTTTTTTCCCTTCTGCCATTCCCTCAATTGTGAATTGACAAAGTGATTCTGGATACACTCTGGAAGATTCTTAGTATAGTGGAAAAAGTATGGAGCCAGACAGACTGGGGCTTATATCTGTGCCCTATAAATCACATACTGTGTGGCCTTGGGGAATTTCCTTAAAATTTCTTGGGCTCAGTTTTCTCATCTGTAAAATGGAGTTAATAATACCTATCTTGTGAGCTTTTTGTATATATTCAAATAAGATAATTTAATTTTTATAAAATAAACTTCTGTGTGAAATTTCAATTGCATCAGAAATATAATGGATTAATGAATGGATAGAGGGATGGATAGATGGATAGACACATGCAAAAGCATGAATAGCAAAATGCTACTGATTAAACTGAGGTGGTAGATACATGGGCATTCACTGAACAGTTCAATTTTGCTGTATATTTGAAATTTTTCATAATAAAATGTTAGGAAGAATCAGAAAATATAAAATAAAACACTTTGAATATGGAAAATACTCAAAAATGGTAACCATTATTACTGCATTCTCTCAGGTACATATAACAATGGAATCTTAAGATGGGAATATTCATTCTGTATTGTCAAAAATGAGTTTTAAAACAAAAGTGATTTATAACCAATTAAGCAATTCTCTATCCTAACTACATATTTTTTATTTAATGTGCCAGAGAACAGAGGAGTTTATCAGGACTCCAAGCTCAGCATAATTCTGCACATGTTTTCAATACTGCTATGAGACCTTCACCTGATCAAGGCCAGGTAAACGCTGAAAGTAATTTGTTTGGTAAACTAAGTTGATAGAAGTCACCAAAGAGAGGAATGCTTTGGAGAAACAAAAAGAACTTTGGGAGATTAAAGAAGTAGTCAGAGACAACAAAATGAAGTGTGATCAGAAGATCAAATTATACAAATATGGGATGGTTGATGACAGGTTATTTATCAGTAGAGTACAGGCCAGGCCTGGGGCAAATTACAATAGAAGTGCTCTCTTCTCCATCATTTGTTTTCAAGTAAAATCAAGTTAAAAAACATCAAAAGGCAGCCTTGGGGAAAGTTAAAACACAAATCAAAGAGGAAAAGGAAGTCACTAAAAGAGGACCAGAAAGATATAGATAACAGGATAAGGATTTGAGCCATGTAGCTTTTTTTCTTTAAACTAGCTGAAAATTTCTTCTTATCTAATAATATATTCTCCATAGCACAGAGCCTCTAAAACAGAAGACTTGTGTGGATCTCCTCAATTCACTGTACTTTAGGTATAACTCTGAATATAGTAAAAGTTCTGGATGTCATATCTGACCACAAGTATCAGAAGCAGCAGCAATGCATTTATTGTTTTAAATCAAACAAATCACTAGTAAGATACTGCAAAATCATCTTTTTTTGTCATGGTAATAATAAGTCCTGAAGGGGCAAGTTATGGTTAAGTGGTAGAATGCATGCTTAGCATGCAGGTCCTGGGTTCAATCCTCAGTACCTCCATTAAAATAAATAAATAAACCTAGTTCCATCCCCACTCTCCAAAATAAGTCCCAGAATATGCCTAGCTATGATCTCTATATTTTAAGGAAGATCTACATTGAAACTAAAGAACACCAGCGTCAGTATAATTCTGTATACGTTCCCAATATGATACCTTCTCAACAGTACTAAGGCCGGTTAAAATTGCAACTCATGAAAAGGTTAAGATAAAAAGTTGATAAAGAATTGATGAATGAAGGATAGTGGTCAGATATTTTCTATTTGAAATCAGAACAATTAAATATTGGGAGTTAAATCAGAGTATAAAAGATAGGATTTATGTGATTCTGAATACATCTATATCTATCTATCTATCTAAAACATTTTTCTGAAAAAGAAGGTTAAGTTTCTCTGGATGAATATACTATGATGAATACAGTTGATGGTATAAAAGGTTGACTCTAAGGCTGTCAGATCCTTTTAGTCGTCAATTGGTCCCTTGAAGTGACAAATTGTTTTGTAGATGGATTCTAAGAGTTAGAGAAGCAAGCAGGTAGATGGTGCTTTACCTTTTTTAAGGATTCACTTATTCTTAGCCTCCCTAGTTACTTTTGCCTCTCACCTATTTTTCAGATCTCCTGGTTGACCTTCTCCTCTCCTCTCCTCTCACCATCCCTTTTTAACTTACTGCTATACAATTTCTAATAGTGGATAAAATTCAAGAGGAAAGCCAAGTATAGTGCCCATCATTTAGGCTATATTCAGTAAATGTTACTCTCCCTTTCCCTGGTCTCAGTCTTCCTATGGCTAAATACCTGCTTTAGTTCCTGTTACATCTATCTGAATATTTCCACTGTAGACACTTTCTCTTCGTTGCTGTGAACTAAACTTCCCTTGACTGGGGACGCCACAAGTGAACCACCATGTCTGGTCTCAGTCTACCATATTCTTCTCTTCCTGATGGTTTCCCAAAGTCTAAGGAATTAGGAAGCAGAAATGGACTGCAAGTTAACAATTTAATAGAGGACTGGGAAATTTTCCAATTGAGTTAAACTCTTTAGAAGGGTGTCCAGATGCACTGTGCTCTGAGTATACATTTAAAATATTGACTTTGGCATTTGATGACTTCTCAAAAGCTAAGGCCCAGATCATATTTCCACAGAATTAAATAATGCTTTTTCAGGTAAATTCATCATTATTTTCTTTATTCAGCTAGCTCACACGCAGAGAACCAAGAATTAACAAGCAGAGCCTGAGTTCATTCTTGAATTGTCAACGTTAATCTTTTCTAATTGACTTAACAATTAGATTTGAGTGGGTGAAGGTAAGACTACCTATTTGCTACCTCTTCTTCACCCCCACCCACTTTTATTTTTAGCACAGAGTAACTTGTGGCTTTCAAAGTTGTTAAAATCCTAGCATGAGCATATAATTAGAAATCCCAATATATTATATAAATCTCTGGCAGGAAGTTGTGCTGCATAGTTTAGTCCTGTGAGAATTCACCGTTGCCTTTTTTGGTTTTGGTTGTTGTTCTGATCATAAATATGTTTTTAAAATTTATCTGCCTTTGAAACCAAGCTTACATGGTGTGATTCAGCCACATTCAGTCACAGGATCGAACATGTTTTAATTACTTTCACCTGGTAAAAATTCACGGCAACTATGTCAGGAGAAAAGGAAAAAAAAAACGTGCATTTTTTAGAGACCCAGGTAACCGGCATAGTCTGAAGAGGTTAGCAATAAATACTGGTATGACTTAAAGAGCATATAGTAAATCATATAATGCAGGCAACAAATACTGAGAAATGCTCACTGAAAAGGAAGAATACTTTGACTAACAATAAGATTTTCTAAATTTGGTATGATGATCCCAAATTTACCAAATTGCTGGATTTACTGTTTTCAAATAGAATAAATTAAAAGTGGGGAGAGAGAATGAGCTAAGCTTTAAATTATCAACTTACTAAATCCAGAAGATTCTTCCTAGATACTAAATGAAAATAATACCCAATAATTAAAGTATTATTCTTTAGATACCTGAGAATATTATCATAATTTAAACAATTTCTCATTAGAAGTCATTTCATCTTCAAACACTTAAACATTATCAAGTATTCCACTACAGATAGCACTGTGCAAATGGTGATAATCTCCAGACCATTGCTATGTTTTCAGTGTGCATTATCATTGGATTTGTTACTCTACCTTATCAGTAAATGATTAGTCATAGTTTTATGAATATTTGCATAGCTAAAGCCTTATGTTATGTCACTTATCGAATTCATGAAATTAATTAGTTCAAGGCAACCAGTTATGTAAAGTGAACTGGAAATCAGCAAGGCAGAAACAACACCTTTTACTGTGATTAGTTTTTTCAACGGTCCAAAGTTTTACTTAGGGAAAAAACATTCCGTTGGCTATAAACACTAAAGGAATCTTAGCAATTGAAATGGGAATATTATTCTGTAGCATATTTGCCTTTTTAAAAACAAAAATTGAAATCTTTGGTTTCCACTAAATATTAGTTTAATTTGTTTTAAAAGATGATAGAAACAATTTTATGCCCTGATGAAAAGCAAATGGTGTATCTTATTATCTTAAGCTAATGCCCACAGCATTAAAGAACAATTAGCAAAGCCATGAATTATCCTTCTGTTTTCACTTTCATTTCAAAGTTTTTGTTTTGGTTTGTATAAGGCCAGGATTCATGCCGTGAAAAAATCAGGAATTTCCTGATTTTGAAAATATTAACTGAGTTTGTATTCTAGTATGAAATGCAAAACCCATGAAAGTCAAACACTTATGAAATGCAAATGCAGTTAAAGTCATAGCTGTCTTTAATCTAGAAACAATACATAAGATAAAAGGAAAGAAGTCATCTCTTTTGTTTAGCAGTCTAGGCAGAAGGTCATTTGTGAACTTGTTATTTTTCATCCTATTGTCAATGTTGCCTATAACAAGCACTGGGCATACAACAGAAACTAAATGAGTGCTGGAATACATGAATGAAAGCATGGATGAGTGAGTGGATACTCCCCGTGAGTTTTATTCTACTACACATATAGTATTCTATCTACCACACATATAAATTATCATGCATGTCATATGTTGATGATCTGGTCAACAAAAAAGAGACTTGTGAAGTCAAGAAAATCTGATGTGTTCGGTGATTTGAAACTATGAAATACTTCATCATGTTTCTACTGGGTAGCCAAAATCACTAGGCGGACTCTATGTCTCATCAGCCAGAATATTTAAAAGGCAATTGAGGCTGTTCTATCCTGAAACTCTCTAACCTGAAAACTTTGTAGCAGATAATCCAATTTGGGCAGTAGGTTCTGGCCTGTAACCTATGAATTTTCCAGGATATTTTTCTAATAGGCCACGGCTAAAGCTTTGGTCTAGAAATAATAAGCAATGAGAAGTAGACCAGGTAGAAGAGCTTTAAATCACTGGCATATAAATGAGAGTGAATGAGATGGTCTAGGGAGAGAATATAGAGTGAGAAGAGAGAAGGATGTAGAATGAGGTGACCCAATATTGACCAGCTGTGTGAGCTTATACAAGCCACTTAACCTCTCCAAGTGCCTGCTTGAGCATCCAAAAGATGAAGACAAAACTCACACACCTTGGGGTAACTGTGTACAGCAATCAATCATTCAATAAATGAGGGCTATAGCTAGCAATTTTTTACATATATGGAAGTATATTTACTGCAGTATTGTTTATAATAACAAAGTATTGGAAACAAATTTACATTTTTGGCATATCCATGTAATGGAATACTAATAATACATCTGTAAAACACATATAGAGAGAAACTTATCTGTGTGTATGAGATGAAGAATGAAGCCTCCTGTGTATACTTCTACACATTCTGCTCAAAAGAGAGTTGATTGTATTAGGTAAATAAATTATCTCTCATGTGTTTGTGAGCATTAATATTCAGACTGCAAGAATGACAATGCCTAAGTCAAAGAAATGGCTCCAATAGTGAGAATTTCACATTATGGCAGGTTGAAAGAAGATATCATTTAATATGTAATTATTTGCCCCTAAAAGCATACCATTCACATTCCTTTTGATAAGATCAGTGTAGCCACAACCTACTGAATTCTCCACTTCTATATTAAAAGGCAAGAAAGGGAAATTATCAACCAATTATCTTATATCTCCTTTCCTTCAAACTCCCTGAATCTTTTACTGGGAGAAAAAAAGAAATCTATATGTAGAAATGTATGTAAAGAGGATATGTGAGTGTATGTGTAAAGTGGTTAACCATACCATTCATTCAC